TAATTACCTTAAAGGTCTCATGTCATGCTTTTCTGGTTATGACCCGTCCCCCTGTGTGTTCTGTAGCTTCTGCATGTAAACGGTCTGCAGAGTCACAACCCCTCAGAGTACACCCTGTAGGAGTAAAACTCTAACACAGAGAAGACCTGTCTGTGCTGCCCCAGAACGCCTCGTTGGAGATCTTTCTTTTTCAATTTGTTTCTTCCGGGAACCAAGTGACGTAACGACGACCCCTCCACGGATTGGTCAAAATGGACCAATCCGTGGAGCCGTTGCGTTACGTCTGCAGAGCCGCTTCCTCACACACACACTCAATCTTTTCTCAGCTGCAGCTCCGCCGATTTCTCCTCCCTGAGACGGCGGGACGCGGCGAGGCTGTGAGTCGGTGTGAACACACACAAACTCCCAGCCAGGCTGCGGGTGTGTGTGTGTGTGTGTGTGTGTGTGTTCGGGCTGGTTTCGCTGCGTCTCGCTGTCTCGCAGACGGCCACTGGGCTCACAGGGAGGGAGGGCAGGAGCTCCAACAAGCCGTGTAGGACAGAGAGTGAATACACATACTGTACAGAGAAACCAATGTGAGTTTGGAACATTGAACAATGTAAATCTATTCTAGTAGACCTCAACAATGGAACTATGATCAGTAGAAATGGACATGGGACCTTTAAGGTACGCTATGCTTATATTCACTAGGAATATTAAAGTATTTTTTATAAGTATTAATAGTATAATATTACTGCTGATGTCATGTTAGAAACATAGCTGTTATTGCTCACTTGACTGATCTAAAAGCACTAAAAGTTTGATAAATGATAAATACGCATGATGTCAAAAGGCTTATGTTATTTAGTTCAGTATAAAAAGTATGTTTACAGCGTCTTCGTCAGTTTCTAGTTTCACCTATTTTATCCAATCAAGCTGTGGAGAAGCTGTTTTTAGATGTGTCGGTGAAGAGAAGGTGTTTAGCGAGATATTCAGTACGCATATCAAGAGCCGCTCAGCTTGTATTAGTCCCAAAGCGAGGAGATATGCAATGTTCTTACAGCGGCCACGAGGTCGATGCGTGAGCAAGAGGGACTACAGAATTCCTTCATTATTAACTTAAAGAAAGGCAAGATATAATAAATACATGATCCGTCTGTAACAGCAGTTCTGTTTTATTATTTGTGTAACTGCAGGTGCGTCTGATGATGAAAGCCCACTCCTTCGTCAGAGAGAACGTCCCACGAGTCCTGAGCTGGGCTAAAGAAAAACACAGTACGTACCTTTCAGAGACGGCTGTGTGTCCTTCAGAGTTTCATAAAAAGACTTAAAAGGCTTTACATTGAATAATATTACAGATTAAAATGTCTTAATTCAACGTAACAAGAGTGGTCAGAATTATAAGGGGAGGTCATTTGGTTCTGTATTCTTTATTTTCCCTTTCACATAAACGTCTTGCAGATCTGGATAGCAGGACAAAATTGTACTTGAAATAAAGGGACCTGGAAAGTCCTTGAATCAAATGTTTAAGAAGGTGTGGGAACGTTGACATCGTCTCTCCTCTATAGGCCCCGGCCCTGTGGTGCCTCAGGTCTCTCAGTATCTCTACTTCCTGTTTGCACCCACTCTCATCTACAGAGACAAATACCCCAGGTAACACTATTCATATGAAATGTTATCTCCTCACAGCAGATCATGTGTTTGATCAAACCTTATTTCTCTCTTAACGCAGGAACCCGGTGATCAGGTGGAGCTACGTGGCTTCAAAGTTCCTTCAGGTACCTCTTTCATATTTTAAAGTTAATAATAATATACAAAATGATATTTATATAGCGCTTTTCATGAACTCAAGGACCCTTTACATCAGGGGTGTCAAACTCAAGGCCGTGAGCCAAATCGGGCACGCAACCTCATTTGATGTGGCCCCGCAAGAGCTTGCAAAGAATATCATACGGTTACGTGCCGCTTTACAGGAGCACGTTGCCCATACACTACATCTCCCACAATGCACCTTGTTTTGTGACATGCGCACTGAAGAGACTTGTAATTATTTGCCCTAGACTTCTGCTTTCAGACGTAGTTAATTATGAAGTTATTACCCTATCTGATAATCATCCAATACAGAGGCAATAATGTAAAATAATACATTATTTTATATATATATTAAATATATGTATTTTTATAGAGTCTTAAAGTTACAACCGGCCCTTTGAGTGTGGCCTGTGATGAAATTGAGTTTGACACCCCTGCTTTACAGTGTAAGGGAGGGTGGACAAACAAAGACAGTCAACAGGAAGTTCATTGGGGGGGAGGGCTTATGTAGCGCTGCTCGATTATGGCAAAAATCATAATCTCGATTATTTGGGTCAATAATTGATATATCACGATTATTAAAAACGATTATCCATTTACTTTGAAAACATCAATTTATGTGAGACATTTTTTTTTTAACAGTATGTTTTGAACAGTTGATTTCCCTGAACTTTAAGAATAATTCAACTGAAAAACCAATAAAAAAGAAAATTATAAAAAAAAGAAAAATTAATACAAAAATAATTATTTTATTTCGATTACGTTTTTTTCGTAATCGCTGAAAGCCATAATCGTAATTGCGATTAAAATACGATTAATTGAGCAGCCC